GGGAACCGAACTCACGACCTTGCGCTTGCCAGGCAGGCGCTTTTGCCACTGAGCTAAATCCCCAGCCCCTGATTTTCTACCATTAACGATTTTAGTAGAAACTGACAGAGATTTGAAGTGACCCATCCCACTGCCGCCCAATGACGTGGACAAAAATGAAGCGAGGCCTCCAGGACCTAGCGACCCGAGTGAAGCAAATCTTGGATCAAACGACAAAAATCCACTCCCAAGGACGGAAATCCACCGGAGGCAGAGAAAAAGGAGCCCACTCATGGCTTCTGCTTCCTTGGGACCCCTCCAGGGACCCCAAAAATGTCTTCAAATGGGTCTTCGAAGAAGTCGAATGAAAATGGGTCCCTTCCGCCACAAAATTCCCTGAAGACATCCTCTGGGCTCCAGAATCTGAACCCAGACCCACAGGGACTGTGGGAGTGACTCCCACCTCCTGCACCACCGCGTCACCGCTCTTTGCTGTATTGTCACAGATGTCCCATTTCTTAGCATCTGCTGACACCTCATGTGCCTCGGCTACTTGTTTGAATTTTCGCTCTGCTTCTTCATTCTCAGGGTTTTTTCCGGGTGCCACTCAGGCGCCCGTTTCCGGTATGCCTTCCTGAGGCCCTGGGTGGGGGAGGCATGTCTCTGTGCGCCCCTGTGGCTCCCTCACTGTGCGCTGGCTGGTGGTGGCTGTGGTTCCTCACCCTTTCCTTTTCCTTTCCTTTCCTTTCTCAAACGACAGGAAATCCACTCCCTTCTTTTTGTCAGGTGGATTTAGTTTTGTGGTCGCACCAGGTGTGGTGGCGCATGCCTGGGATCCCAGCACTAGGGAGGCTGAGGCAGGAGGATCCTAAGTTTGAGCCCAGCCTCTGTTGCAGTTTAGTGGGACTCTGTTTGAAAAAACAAAAAGGGCTGCAAGTGTGGCTCAGTGTGAAGGCCCTGGGTTCAAGCCTCAGTATGGAGCCAGGCATGGTGGCGCACCCCTGTCATCCCAGTGCTGAGGAGGCTGAGGCAGGAGGATCACTAGTTCAAGGCCAGTCTAAGCTCACAGTGAGTTTAAAGCCAGCCTGAACTACATAGTGAGACCTTGTCTCAATAAAAAATAAAAAAAATAAAAAATAAAAAAAGCCTCAGTATGGATCTCACTGTTGAGTGTTTGGACCATATAGGGTGCATCAAACACTTTCAATCTCTCTATCATTACTGCTTCAATCGCTTCGGGGCAGGACTGCTGCTCCTCCAGGTGGAAACATACTCCCCACTGGAGTCTGGGGTGAAAGTGCTAAGCCGAGGCTGCGATCCCAGGAGTGCGAGGCCTCGGGCATGCAGGCTGGTCAGGTCACATCCGGGCAACTTCTCTTATGGTTTGCAAGTTCCAGGCCAATCTGGGCGATTTAGGGAGACTGTCTCAAAACACAAGAAGAAAGCTGGGTGTGGTGGTGCTCACCTGTCGTGCTGACACAAATTAAGAGTTCGAGGCCAGCCCCAGCTGCAGTGAGACTCTGACTCCATCAGTAACGGTAACTGTGGGCCCGAGTGGCAGTAGAGTTGTGTTCACACTGGCACTCAGCCTCCTGCTACCAGGGAAGTGAAAGGTCTGTGACCCTTTCGCTTTTAGACTAATCCACACTGTTCACATTCATCATAAACAAAATCACCACAAAAGAAAAAGAAGAGTGCTGTCGTGGAGGCTTTAACTTTATTCTCCAGAAAAACATTCATAAATTACAACGTTGAGCCAAAAAGAGGTAGCATACATTTTTTAATATACCAATTACTAAGAGGGAAAAATTAGAAATTACCAAAGAATGAGCTCCCTGCTAGGCTCCCAGGGTAGACACCTTTGCTCACAAAGCTTTTCAAAGGCGTGAGCACTGTGCAACTGTTGTCGTCGATTTGCTTGACTGGTTTTTGGAGGATTGGGGATTGAACCTATCACCTCTTCCATGAGCTATACCGCCAGCCCAAATGTTTTGATTCGTTGTTGTTGTTGGGTCTTTTGGTTTGGTTTGGTTTGGTTTTTTTTTGAGACGGGTTCTTACTATGTAGCCCCAGCTGGCCTCAAACTCACATTGATCCTCCTGCCTCAGCCTCCTGAGTACTGGGATGCCAGGCATGTGCCACCTTGCATTTTTCATTTTCCAGACTTTCTGCAATCAAAGAAATCAGCACAGGGAATTTATAGAGAGACCTGAGGTCAAGAGGATACAGAGGGAACAATGAACCTTGAACTCTCCGTGATCAAATCAAATTGATCTTTGCATGTTATATACCTCAAGATTTTTTTCTGCTATTTTGAGACAGACCTCACTTTGTAATCTAAAATGGCCTTGAACTGTAATTGTAATCCCCTTGCCTCAGCCTCCTGAATCCTCGGATTACAAGCATGGGACACCAAACCCAGCTAACAAACTTGTTTTAAAAGTAGTTTAAAAATAAATAAAATAAATAAAAATAGTAAAATCTAGGTTGGGTATGGTGGTATGCCTGTAATCCCAGCACTTGGAAGACTGAGGCAGGAGGATTCCTTCAAGTTCAAGGCCAGCCTGGGCTACATAGACAGACTCAGTCTCAAAAAACAAAACAAAACAAACAAACAAAACAAAACAAAATATATATAAAATCCCAGCACTCGGGAGGCTGAGGCAGGAGGATCCTTGGGAGTTCAAGACCAGTCTGAGCTACAAAGTGAGCTCAAGGCCAGACTGAACTGTAGCGAGACCCTGTCTCAGAAAGACTATATATAAAATATATATATTTATTTATTTATTTATATAAATATATATATTTTTATATATATATAAATTTTAAAAGTAAATGGATAATTTTTTGTATGTGTGAGACCAGGTCTCAGTCTTAAAAATTGGTAAGTGAAAGACAAGGTAATAGCAATAATTTGTGGCATATGTGAAGAGGCCATTCTGGGACAGAGCAAATCCAAACAGTGGAGAAACCAATTAACAGGGCCTACAGAGAAGTGCAAATTAAAAAACAATGAGGTCACTTCTCACCTATCAGAGTAACAAAAATTAAAGACAGAATCACACCTGCTCCTGGGCGGGTGTGGGAAAGCTTTACCCTCTGCGTTGTTGCTGGAGATGTGAATTCACACAGGATTTGCAGAAAGCAGTTTAGCAATTTCTATTACAATTTAAAATTCCCTTTCCCCCTGCAATCCTAGTCCTGGGAAATGGTAGCACCTAAACAAAGGCACTTAGTCTCAGGCTTAGAAGTATGTTCATTACTGCCTTGTGGTTGCAGCAAGGCACCAGAATCCTAGAGAATGCCCATTTCAGGAGGGAAGGGAATACTACCTAACCGTTAAAAAGGATGAATTAGAGCTGTCTCACCCCGCTGAGGGGAATTTCTACTGTGTATTTTTGCTAAGGGAGGAATAAAGATGAAGGGAATGCATGAGATATGATTCAGTTTTTAAAAGTTATGACATCCTCCCACAATAATTAAATGTAATGACTCCAAAAATAAAAACTGTTGCCGGGTGTGATGGTGCATGCCTGTAATCCCAGCACTTGGGAGGCTGAGGCAGGGGGATCGTTGCAAGTTCAAGACCAGCCTGGGTTACAAAGTGAGCTCAAGGCCAGCCTGAACTGCAGAGCGAGACCCTGTCTCAAAAAGACTAAATAAATAAATAAATAAAATAAAAACTGCAAATGCACGTGTGTATGTATGCACAGATTGCTACTGAGGAAAGGTGGAAAGGAGGAAATTAGAAAGGAAGCCAGCCATAGCATAAAGGAGGAGAAAGAAATACCTTAAAATATTTTATTTTTTCTTTAAAATATTTTAAAATGTGTTATTATTATTAATATTCATATTAGTATTGGTATGGGAGACAGGGTTTCTCTAAAGTACCAAACTGCCCAGGTTGGTCTGTAACTTTCCATCGTCCTGCCTCAGCCTCCTGACCGCTAGGATTACAGGTGTGGACTGCCGTGGGAAGCAGTGGAGCCTTGGCTGAGCTGGAGGTTGGCAAATTCCTTGGGACTAGAGCAAGGCCAGCCCAGCAGGTGTCAGGCCTTGGTGTGCCTCCCTGTTGACTACAACACACACAGCTCTGAGAATGTTTTGATTCCAACATTCTCAGCAAAACACTGAGACCTTGCATTTTGACTCCGTCGTGTACTTCCCCCCTTTTTACTATGTATAAAGACGCAGACCATGCTGGGTTATCCCGCTGCCTCTCCATCAGAGGTCAAGTCCCACCTGGTCCCAGCTTTCCTTTTTCTATGTGTCTGTTTTTTCTTAACCTCCTGTCGCCCCCTCTCAGAACCCCACTGGCTGTGTAGGTCGTGGCAGACTACCATTCCTAGTTTAAAAATAATTTTCTGCATTCAAAAAACCGCATGACCTTATCCATGCTAGATTACATACACAGAAAGACAGGGAGGGCAGAAACCATAATAGTAATTATCTTGGAGGTTGGAAGCGACCTTCTCCTTGTTTCTTAAAGTATAAATGTTATATAATGAATACAGGTGTGGTAGTGCATACCTGTAATCCCAGTACTTGGGAGGCGGAGGCAGGAGGATCACCATGAGTTCAAGGTCAGCCTGGGCTACATAGTGAATTCAAAGCCAGCGTGAACTGCAGTGTGAAACTCTGTCCCCTACACACAAAGAAAAGAAAAGAAAAAAAAAAAAACAAATTCAGCCTGCCTAGAATGTTTTCACAGATCCTCCAAGTGTGGATTGTTTGAAGTAGCAGCACCATCACCTGAACAAAATTCTCCCATTGAACGAAAGCTGGGAGGGCGCGGGTTACAAATGCTAATCATAGGAGAGGATCTTCATTTCTTGCAGTGCAAAAACGACTGACTGTCCAACCTGTGCTTCTCCCAGTTCAGGGTTCCTTCATCCCACTCTCTCCCAGCTCCTCCCCCAACTCCTCTGCCATAGTCTTCAAACTTCTAGAAATTTAATAATAAAAAAATTATTTTAACCATTTCTATTTTCATTCTCATTCTATAGTGGTTTTTTGAGACAGGACCTCACTAGGTAGCTCAGGCTGGCCTTGAACGCACTTGTAAGTCCAGACTGGCCTCGAACTCAGTGAACGTCCTGCCTCAGCCTCTGTAGTGCTGGGACTGCAAGTGTGCAGCACCATGCCCGGCTTCTATAGTGATTCTTAAAGCCGTCGTGATTATTTATTTCTTTATTTTGAGACAGGGTCTCACTATGTTGCCCAGGCTGGCCTCACACTCACGGTGATCCTCCTGCTTCAGCCTCCGGAGTGCTAGGATCACAAGGCATGTGCAGTCAGGCCTGGCCAGTCTTCGTTTTAAATCTTCCATCTGGGTTTCCACATCTCTGTCCGTCTTCTTTGGTGGGCACTGCTCCCCACCTCCTGCTAGGCTCAGGAGGGGCAGGAGATGTTTAGTTCTAGGATCAGCCCCCCACCCCCGGCGACCGGAAGTTGTGCGTCCAGGCTCTTCCCCAGCACCTAAGGTGGTGAGCAAGGCAGGATCGCAGGCAACCGGGAGCAGACGCCGAGCCGCAGGGGCCAGATACCACAGCGCGCGCTGAGAGCTGCAGGCTCCCAAGCGCGGCCCCAGGCTCACGACACCAGCCCCCGGAAAACGGTGCAAACTCTAATTCTCCGGCCCCGCCCGGCCTCGCTTCCCGGATGGTGACACAGGAGATCGAGACTCCGGCGGCACCGCCTAGAGTTTAGGAGTCGCGACTCCAGCAGAGGCCTGGGATCTGGGAGAGGGGACGGCGGCTGGGGTGCCCCGGAGCCCGCACGAGCTCTCCCGCCGGGTTTCCGGGGAACCCAGAACTCGCCGCAACCCGCGGCACCAGGAGAGGCAGGAGATCCTCTGTGCCGGCCAAGCCGGGGCAGGTACGCACCCGCGGCCCACACACGAGCAGGACCCGACGCGGAAGGCCGGAGCGCCCCAGCTGCAGTGGGAGCTGAAGCCCAGGCCCCGCCCAGGCCC